GTCAGGCCTGTTCTCCTTTGGGTCACTCTGTATTGGCTCCTGTGTGTCATAGAATCACAGCGTGTCTGGGCTGGAAGGGACCTCCAAAGTCATCTAGTCCAACCCCCTGCCACAAGCAGGGACATCTCCAACTAGATCAAGCTGCTCAGAGCTTCATCCAGCCTGATCCTGAATGTCCCCAGGGATGGGGCCTCCACCACCTCTCTGGGCAACCTATCCCAGGGATCTATCACCCTCCTACTGAAGAACTTTTTCCTACTGTCTAACCTAAACCTGCCCTTTTCTAGCTCAAAGCCATTCCTCCTCGACCTGCCACTCCAAACCCTTGTGAACAGTCCCTCCCCTGCTCTCCTGTAGCCCCTCTCAGGTACTAAGAGGTCTCACTGAGGTCAGCTGGCAGCCTTGGTAGGAAACAATCCACTTTCCCCTTCTGACTGACATTCTTCCCCATGAGTGATTTGGATCAGGCTGGAGAACTGAATGAGCTCAGGTGCTGATGTGGAGGAAGAGGAGTGCACTCAGGGAGGATGAGAGGGAAGGGGAAGGGAGATGCGAGTAGTCTTCCTTTTCTGGCATCAGGGAGCTCTTGTGTCAGCTGCCCCTGGACCAACAGCTTGAGCCAGTTGTTCCAGACTCCCTGGACAACCTCAGCTCCTCCTCGTGTCTCCTTTTGCACCCAGGAATTGTGAATTTCTTACAAAACCCTTTTTCTTGTAGGGCCAAGAAGACTCGAGTCGAGGCTCCGACAACTCCAGCTATGATGAAGCTCTGTCCCCTACGTCTCCAGGACCCCTGTCAGTCAGGGCCAGTCACGGGGAGAGGGACCTGACAAACTCCAGCATGGCCCCACCTACCCCAGATCTCCATGGCATCAACCCAGTGTTCCTGTCCAGCAACCCCAGCCGCTGGAGCGTGGAGGAGGTGTACGAGTTCATCGCGTCGCTGCAAGGTGAAGTCCAGGTCCTCTCCTGCACTCCTCTCGTCCAGTACCACAGGGAAACTCGTGGGCTCTCTTTCTGGCAAGAAAGTAGAGGCTACAGATTTCAGTCAGTGGGTGGTCAGTGGTGCCTGGTGCTGTTGTGGTGCTGTTGTGGACGTTTCTGGATTGGAGTAGGTCATACAGAGGGAGGACTCGTACCTCTCAGGCTGCAGAGGGGGTTTGGGTGGGTTCCCAGCTTGCTTTCCATACCTGCCAGAGGCCCAAGGAGCAGGAAGGAGGGGAGTGCCCAGGGCACAGGTGTTTATCTGTTTCTCAGTGCTTTGTTTTCTGCCTCACAGGCTGCCAGGAGATCGCCGAGGAGTTTCGGTCGCAGGAGATTGATGGCCAGGCCCTGCTGCTTCTCAAGGAGGAACACCTCATGAGTGCCATGAACATCAAGCTGGGACCAGCTCTCAAGATCTGTGCCAAGATCAACGTCCTCAAGGAGACCTAACAGCTCTGAAGCCAGACATCTCACTTGTCCTCTGACCCCAGGGCAGCCGCCAGCTTTGGAGCACCCTGCTGGGGCAGGGAGGAACGGGACAGTCCCCTGGGGTCCTGCATCCAAGAAGAAGGAATTGAACTGATTGAAACTGCAGTGCAGGAGCCCGGGTCGTGGTCTCTTAATGGTGCTACAAGGGGGAGGAAAACTCCCACCTGGGGCCTTGAAACATCTTTCCTTCTTCCTGGTTTTGAGTATGCCTCTCCTGTCCACCACGCAGAGACGTGCAGGGGACCTCTTTCTGTCTTAGCAGACTTCTGAAGGGGAAGGGCCTTTGCCCCTTTTTGCTACAGCAGGTCTGCTAGATCTTAGTGTTGAATCTTACTGTGCCAGAATTTGAGGTGTGGGAGGAGATGGTTGGTCCCACGTGGACATTGGGAGCAGCCATCCTTGGGGCATTTAGGAAGGGGAGCTACTAAATTCCGAGTGACAGAGATGGACAAACAAGTGTTTGAACTAAAGGGGCTGCTGCTGTTCAACTCTAAACTGAAAAAAAACCAAAACCACAAAAAAAAACTCAACCACCAACAAAACAAAAGCCCTGGACTGCTCGAGGACTGGGTTTAATAGCCATTCCAGCACCTATACCAAACTTGAAGGCCCATGGCAATAAGAACTGCCTTAGTTTCACTCTCCTGTAGGTACAGCGTGAGGGAGGAGTGTTGTGGCAGCTGTTGGCTCCAGAGGCTCCTCTCTGGAGCAGTCAGAGGAGGATTTATCCCGAGTGCTTACGACAGAGTGATGGGGAGGGGGGATTGTCTCACGTTGGGGAGCCCTGCAGCACTGGGTTGGTCCCCCTGTTGTGCTGGGGGAGAACTGACAGATCCAAAGCAGCCTCCAGAAGCACCAAGGCTCTTCAGAAAGTGGGCTGGGGTTTTTGTGTTCTTATTTTTTTTTTTTTTGTGTTCTCTATCATATTTTGTTTTATTTTTGTGTCTGTCTTCATTAACCTCAGGAGAGCTTATGGGACAGTTTGAGCTGGCAGGATAGCAGTGCCTGCTTCAGCCTCTTCTTTTTGTTGATGATGGTGTTGTAAAACAAATATTCCTCTTCCTCAGATAAAACAAAAACACACCCTCCAACAACTGAATACTAATCCTTTAAAGCTGCTCCTCCTTTTTAAGGAGTAGAATTATATTATAGGCTGAGTCCTCCCCTTTCAGCCCCTCCAGGATTGGATTTTTTTTTGAGGACCAAACGTGGTATTGTTGAGTTTTGTAACCAGGCTGCCAAAGGTGAAAACCTGGGCAGAGCTGCTCTCCTCCAGAAGCACCTCTGCTTCAAACAAACGGCCAAAAAACCTGAAGCAATTAGACACAGCATGAGGAATGGCCCCCTAGAGCCAAATCCCTGAAAAGCAAGATGATTCTGTAAACTGCCTGCCAGCTTTTCTGTTTTCAGGAGTTTCATGGGGCTATTTGAATGAAACATGACTGCTCTCTCTCTGGAAAGCACCTGGTGTTGAAGGAAGGCTGTGGTGGCGTGGGAGGAGGCCTAGTAGCACAGGTAGGAAAACATTAAGAAGCTTTGGAAGGAGTTTTGTTGACTCATGTTAGAAACAGAGAGGAGGGCAAGTGCTTACAAGACAACAAAATGTGGCAGCAGCTTCCCTGTCTTAACTGTACCATTGAAATCTCACCTTAGTGACATCCTTCTTCTGGGAGAGACCTCTGGAATGAAAACAGGCCCAAAGGATGCTGCCCGTGCTGGCACCCTGGGAATGCTGTTGGGTCTGGTGTGATTTGGGGAAGGGGGAGGTTACAGTCTCAACAGCAACAAGCAGAGAAAGGCTGTCCTGAAACCACGTTACCCTGAGCAAACTGGGTGTGATAAAACCTGGCAGAGTAGGCAGGCAGCTAACCTGAGGACAGGCAAACAGGAAGGCTTTGCTTCTTCATTTCATGTTCAGTGTTCTTAATAAAAAAAAAGAAGAAATGCTTGTTCAGGCTTTGCAGGTCTGGCTGCTTTTCAAACCCCCCTCCCCAACCTGAACCTCTGTTTAGCCTTTGAGAAGTACAACCTCCATCAGAAAGGTACTTTGGATTTTTATTGTTGCAGGAAAATACACAGCATGTAGGGAACTTCTCCCCTCTGTAACTCCCTGAGCTTGTAGAGTTCTAGTTTTGAAAGGTGTGTGTACCCTTCCCTGCTCAAGGGGCACTAAGGGGACTGGAGCAATAGAAGGTGGCAGCAAAAAACACAGGACAAGGAGAGAGAGATCCATCCTGGCAGGGACAGCTCAGGCACAGGGCACCACGCAGCAAGGACCCTTCACCTTGGGGTAAGACAGAAGCTCTGGCACCAAAGAAAGCTCCTGTTACATCAGCACAATGCCTCAGCAGGATTTTTTTTTTGGTCACTTTATTTTTTTTTGAAAGTTGTGTTTTGTACAAAAAAAATTACCTTAAACACCACCATGAAAAAAGGGTAACGACAAACTGAGCAACTTCCTATTATTTTTTTTCCCAGTGTTACAAGGGAGATTGAGGCCATTACAGGAGTCAGAGGAAGCAGGGATTGTTTGCCCACTAAACCCAGTGAGGAAGCAGGGCCACCCCTTCCACCTCAGCCTTGCTTTGGCAGCATTAAAACCACACAGGGCTCCTCTGTGTGCTGCTGTTAACAGCATCTGCCCTCAAGGCTGAGGACAATCTGCCAGTCTACAGCAGGGCAGAAGGGGCTTGCTCAGAGCCCAGCCCCTCGAAGGAAAAGCAGCTGGGAAGGAGGGTGCCAAGTTCCTGAAGGTTCCCACTAAGCCTGACCACTCAGCTCTTCCCCAGGAGCCCAGAGGTGGGTTCTCTGCCCCCAGGCAGCAGCAGCCTGTGAGCAGCAGCTGCACAGGGCCCCCGGGCTGCTCTGCACCACACCTCAGGGGACAGGATTTGGGAGAGTTGACCCCTCAGCACAAGAGTCCCTTCTGCAGGTCTGAACGGGCTGGAAGCTGAGGAGAAGAATGCTAAGGTTCCTTTTTTATAAAAATAGATTCTGGTACCTTCACAGGAAGAGCCTGTGCCAAACAAGGAGCTTTAGGAGCACGTGAGGGCACAGTGCTGACAGTGAGTGAGCTGGAGGGGCAGGCACCTCGGGGAGCCTGCACAGGAATTGAGTGGCAGCTGCCTGTCTCATTCTGCTGGGCTGTTTCAGTAAATGTTTCCTTTCCTTGGCAGGACCTTATTTCCTTTTGCTTCTCAGTGATTGAAGCATGAATAGTTTCAGTCAACTGGAAAGTCACAAGACTGTACGTAACTCCTACAGGTTTTTTTAGCATTGCCCCTCTTCAGCCTGAGATGGCATGCAACCCTTTGTGTCTGCTGGAGGAACTTGTATAAGGAAACTTATAAGTTGAACTTCAACTCTTTAGTCTGGAGAAGACTTAGGGGAGATCTAATTAATGTGTATAAATATATGTGGGCTGAGTGTCAGGAAGGAAAGGGCAACCTCTTCTCACTTGTGCCCTGAGATAGGATGGGGAGCAATGGTCACAAGCTGGAGCACAGGCAGTTCCACCTCAACATGAGGGAGAACTTCTTTCCTGTCAGGGTTCCAGAGCACTGGAACAGGCTCCCCAGGGGGGTTGTGGAGTCTCCTGCCTTGGAGACTCTCCAGGCCCATCTGGCTGCGTTCCTGTGTGACCTGCCCTAGACTGAATGGTCCTGCTCTGGCAGGGGGGTTGGACTTGGGAGATCTCTGGAGGCCCCTCTGTGATTCTGTGAAACTGCTGTGTACTCTTCAGCATATTGCCACTGGGGAAAACAAGCCTGTGGAGGTGCTAATGCCTCCTGCAGCCCCACAGAGGCTGATGTGGAGCAAGAGCACTCTGTGCAGGTTATGCTGGCAGCAACAGTGTGTGACAGTGCAGAAGCTAGAAAAGCTGAAAATGCATTCAAAGAAAAATAATTCCAGTGTCTTACAGATCCTGTAAACCCTAGGGGATAGGGGGGGAAAGGACACAAAAGATCCCTCCTCCAGTCCCAGCTGCTTTAACCCACAGCCTCCTTTCCCCTCCTCTCCCCCAGCTGCACCCAGCCATGGCCCTTTGTTCCT